GAAGAGATAATGGTGACTCTGAACAGGATATTGGTGGTTGCAGGGGAGATAAGTTATTGAAATTTGAAATTCCCATAAAATTCTGGTACTGTACTCGGTATGTTATGCAGTTAATCAGGAAAATATCTTATTATTCTTAGTGTTAGGATCAATTTACTTTTTCCCCTAAGCTGTTAGTTTCATTTTACATACTAGGTGAATTTATTAGACTGTTACAAATTATGGTCAGGCTTAGGAAGCACATTCAAATTGATAGTTGTTTGGCATATTTGATGCAGTTGACTTATTTTGATTACCCTATACTCGATTTTTTTCTCATAGTTTAAATTTTTTGTTATATTTTTCTGTATTGTTTATTTTGTAAACCTCCTTGTATTCCTTTTGTTGTAGTTTAGGGTGCATATAAATATTTTTCTCTTTGAGTCTATGTGAGATGCCACCTTTCGCCCTCTCTTCAAGGCTGTTTCTAGCCCTTTTTACGTTGTGATTGTTTCTCTTACATTAGAATGAAATCCAATGGAAAGAATTCAAACCATCAGAATAATTAGTGTTTTGCATGGAACTTTAAATAAAGGAATAGTTGTCTCATAGTAAGGATGACAGCTGATCTGTTTGGTCACTTAGCAGATCATTTCAGTTAAATGTGAGTCAAATCAATTTTTGGACTAAATTATTAGTCACTAGTTTAATCAAAGCAGCCTAGAGGTGTATTGTATCTATGACACATACTGATTATGATCCTTGATCTTGAGCTTATTTTGTGGGGATGTTTTATATCAGAAACAGATAATAAAAACTTATATGAAACATTATATTAAATATTAAAATCATATTAATGCTTGCATATATTAATATGATTAGATCATGTGGATGCTAAGTACTTCACCCATTCCTAGAGATCCTAAAGAAATGTTGTGATGTCACAGAGTCCCAACGAATTTTGTCAAACCAAAATTCTAATGAAAAACTGATACTCTGAAAAACAAATAGACCAGAACACAAATTGTTTATATGCATCCATTTTCTTCCTAAGAGTTTGGAAGTTGTAAAATTAACAAACCCCCTTTTCTGTTTACTCTTCATATGGGGCCATTCCTCAGGTGAGTTATAAGGCATGTTTCTTATTTAATAATTTCTAATATTCTTTGTAGTAAAGCTGTGATTTCTGTTTTAAAGTAAAAATTTCTCAGAATCATAGGCAGCTCTGAAAGAAATTGTAGAGGTCATCCAGCGGTCTTATTTGTAGATGAGGAACCAGAGGTCGATACAGTTGAAATCCCAAGTCCTGCAAGCTGATCAGTAGAAAAGTAGTAGAGGCCAGCATCCAGGACTCCTGATGCAATTCAGGGCTTTTTTTTTTTTTTTGGTTGTTGTTAATATCTCAGATTACATATGTGTGATGGACTGAATCCCAAATTTGAGATCATAAAAAAAGATTTAAACATCCAAATCTTATAGGGTTTCATCATAAGTCCAAACTTAATGAATTAAAATTTTACTGCCATTCTAATTCATGATGTAGTAGTATAAATAATCTTATTGATGATGTATTTCAAATTGAGTAGAATTCATGGGAAAGCTTATGTATGAAGTCATTCCTAGCATTTGGATAAATTAAGTCATGAGGCCCTCCCTGAATTATTCTGGTAACTCTTTAGTGTGAATATTGTCTGCAAATGAATAATAGGTTTTCCAAAAACATTTTGGAAAATTTTTTTATTCTTTATTGGAAATAAATATGTCATAACCTGTGCTATAACCATTTGACTTTGTATGATCACAGTAAAGATAAAGGTTTTAGAAAATAAGGGAAGTTTGAACCCTGAACATAAAAACAACAAAAACAGTTAAGATTGTGATATTAATGGTTTTAGATTACCTGCCATATATTTAATTGATACTGTGATCATTTTTGTTTAGTTGAAAATTCACTTTTGTCCTGTGACACTTGTGCTGGTTTCTATGGCATAGAGGAACATTGCCTGTTTCTGTGTTAAAATATAAGCTGCATAACTATGTAGGATAATATGTGCATAGCAATAAATCTATAACTTTCAATTCAGAGTGGAAGACTTCTCTGATAGTGATCCAGATTATTACAGAGGGTTAATTTTAAATACTTATTTATAATTCTTTTCCTTTTATATTTTCTACAGACACCTGATGTATGGGTTGTTTTTGTTTCAGATTTGCTGTTTTTCAGGTACATGTCTCTGAAGTAAGATGACTCGTCAAAATCTCTTTGTGATTTTGTTACATTGGGGTAAGTTATTTGCTGTTTTAATGTACTTATATAAAGTGGAGATTGTGCTTTCTGAGATGTTATTTGTTTCATTGACTAACAGAATTTCCTTTTTCCAATCAGGAATTCTTATTTATGCTCATAATTAACTATAAACCAAAAACCCTTTTCAATCTTCTGAAAACAACTTGATACTTTACTTGTCCAGAATTCTAGTGCATGTGCGCGTGTGCGCGCGTACACACACACACACACACACACACACACACACACACATACATACCCCTATCTTATAGTTGCAAAACTAGAATTGGTCTTTATATTTTGATCTGCATGTTTCTTTTTCCACTTAACAAGTTATCAATTTATCAGGACAATTTTTCTCACAGACATACCCAGAATGATGTTTGACAAAATATCTGAGCATCCCTGGGCCTAGTCAAGCTAAAACACAACATGAACCATCATAAGCTTTAACAGTTTGTCATGTTTGCAAATATTTCCTTACTGCCCAATATTTGCTTTGTAATTATTTTCTTTTACAGTACAGAAAATTTATGATATACTAACATATACTTTAAATAAGCTAAAGTGACACTTAACTTTTAATTTTACTTAGCAAATATAGCAATTTTAAATTATAAAATATACTAGATAATAGTCAAAAATTAAATTTTCTATGTCAAGGAATAATTTAATTGGTAATAATAGTCACATGTTATGTGACTGTGACACAAAATGATGGGTTTGTTTTCAAACAGAAGGGTGATCATGTTGTAAATGCTATTCTGTATTATAATGGAGAGTAATGACAAGTGTGAACGTAAAGGGTTACCAAGGAATGGTAACAAAAACCACCAGAAGAATGCTTTAAGAAATTAAATGCTTTTCTTCCTACGCATTGCAGGATTGTCCTCCAGAGAAAGCTTCACATGATCTTTTATTGTCTTAGCTTTCAACCTTTTGTTTGAAATAAGTCACATGTTGCTGATAACTTTTAATTTTAGACAGGAAAACTAAGCTAATTTTTTTTCTCATTTAATTTTTTTCTTTTTTCAAATTTATTTATATTTCTAAATTGGCATATGAAATTATATGCATTTATCATGTACAAGGTGACTTTTGAAGTCTTTATGCTTTTTGCAGTGGTTTAATATAGCTAATTATAGCAAAGCCATTACTTCACATATTTATTGTTTTTGTAGTAAGAACATTTAACATCTACTGTCTCAATATTTTTCAAGAAATATATTATCATTTTTTTCTTTTTTCTAAAATTTGTTATTTTTAGTTACACATGACAATCGAATGTATTTTGACTTATCATACATACATGGAATATAACTTCCCATTTTTTGTGGTTGTACATCATATGGAGTTACATTGATCACATATTCATATATGAACATAGGAAAGTTATATCTGATTCAATCTACTGTCTTTTCCATTCCTACCCACCTTGCCTTCACTCCACCCTCTTCAATCTGATTACCACCCCCCCCACACACACACTCTGCTCCACCACCACCTATTGTGAATCAGCATCTACATATTAGAATATTTGGCCTTTGGTGTTTTTGGATTGGCTTATTTCACTTAGCATGATAGTCTCCAGTTTCATCCATTTACCAGCAAATGCCATAATTTCATTCTTATTTATGGCAGCTTTTAAATTTTTATCTTTATTCTGTATGTTAGACATTTTCATAATAATATGCCTTGGTGAGAGGAAAGTGACCTGCTCCATTCCGCCATCTTGAAACCTCCCCCAATATATCATCATTAACTGTAGCCATTGTGCTACATGTTAGCTCTTTGAACTTACTCTTCCCAATTATAAATATGTATTATTCTTTGACATTTCATTTTGTCACTCCTGCCTCTTATAACTACCATTCTTCTCTCTACTTCTATGAGATCAGCTATTTTAAATTCCATATGTAAGTGAGGTCATGTAGTATTTTTCTTTCTGTGCTTGGCTTATTTCACTTAACATAATGTCCTCTAGATTTATCTATGTTGTTGCAGATTTCAGTGTTTCCTTATTTTTTTATGGCTGAATAGTGTTCTGTTGCTCTGGGGTGGATGTGGTTTGAGTGTCCACCAGAGGTCTATTGTAATTGGATCCTTAGTTCCCAAGGAGGTGATATGAAGGAATGCTGTAGAATCTTTAAGAAGAGGGCCTACTGAAAAGTCCTTACATCACTGAGGCATGTGAGACCTAAAGTTCTTTTGAAAAGGTTGTTGTAAAAGAAGCAAGAGTGACCATTTCCAGCTTCCCCTTGCTTCTGATTGGAAATATAATCTCTTGATTGCCCTCCCTATTGGACTTCTCCCATTTATGTCCATACCCTGAAGTGATGTGACTGAAGGCAGTCATTGCTAAGCCTACACTATGTCATTTGGATAGACAGCCTCCAAAATGAGCTAAATGAACTTGTTTGCTTATAAAGTTAGCCTGTGTCAGCTTAATATTTTCAGAATGTATATATACCATACTTTCTTTGTAATAAATATGGGAATACAGATATCTCTTTAATGCTGATTTCATTTCATTTTTTCCCATATTTTTTAATTGGTGCATTATGTTTGTACACATTTATGGGAATTGTTGTTATATATACTCATTTTATTTCTTTTAGATATATGCCCAGTACTGAACCAAATGGTAGTTCTATTTTTCATTTTTGTTTTTGAGGAATCTTTGTACTGTTTTCCATAATGGCCATACTAATTAACATTCCGACCACCACTGTACAAGGGTTCTCTTTTCTTCACAACTTTGCCAGCATTTGTTACCCTTTGTCTTTTGGATAATAATCATCCTAGCAGGAATAGGTGATGTCTCATCATGATTTTGATTTGCATTTCCTTGATTTGTGATATTGAGCATTTTTTCATATACCTGTTGACCATTTGTACATCTTCTTTTGAAAAATGTCTATTTATGTCATTTTCCCATCTTTAAATCAGGTTATTTGTGGAGCTTTTTTTTTCCTCAGAGGTTTTTGAGTTCTCTGTATATTTTGGATGTAAACCCCCTTATTTGATATATAGTATACAGATATTTCATCCAATTTTGCAGGTAGTATCATCACTTTGTTGATTGTTTCCTTTGCTGTACAGATGCTTCTTAGTTTGAAATAATCCTGGTTTTCTATTTTTGCTTTTGTTGTCTGTAATTTGGGGTTTTATCTAAAACATTGGTGTCTGTACAAATGTCTTGAAGTGTTGGCCCTAGTTTTTTTTTCCTAGTAGTTTCATATCTGATGTTTGGTCTTTGATCCATTTGGGGTTGTTTTTTTTTGTAATGGTTAGAAACAGAGGTCCATCTTTCTATTATTTTTCCATAAGAATGTCTAGTTTTCCCAGCACCATTTATTGAAGAGACTGTCATTTCTCCAATGAATGTTTTTGACTTATAAATTCTCCCTTTGTTGAGGATCACTTGGCTGTAGAAACATGGATTTATTTTTGGGTTTTCTATTCTGTTCTGTTGGTCTGTGTATCTGTTTTTATTCTAGCACAATGATGTTTTTTAAAAAATTTTTAGTTGTTGATGGACCTTTATTTTATTCATTTATTTATATGTGGTGCTGAGAATTGAATCTAATGCCTCACACATGTAAAGCAAGTGCTCTATCACTGAGCCACAACCCCAGCCCCTGTTTTGGTTACTATAACTTGGTAGTATGTTTTGAGGTGAGGTATTGTGATACCTCCAATTTTGTTCCTTTTGATCTAGATTTCTTTGGCTATTTGGGGTTTTTTTGGGTTACATATGAATTGTATTTTCTATTTCTGTTAAGAAAGTCATTTGTATTTTGATATGCATTGAATTGAATTTGTAGACTACTTTGGGTAGGATGGAAATTTTAACATCATTAATTCCTTTAATCCATGAACGTGGGATATTTTTCCATTTATTTGTGTCTTCAATTTCTTTAATCAATATTTTATGGTTTTCAGTATAGGAATCTTTCATATATTGTAGTTATTATAAATGAGATTTTTTTTAAAGATTTCTTTTTCATATAGTTTGCTACTATTGTATAGAAATTCTACTGGGTTTTGCTTTTTTTCTGCAACTTTAATGAATTTGTTTATTCTAACAGATTTTTTTTTGCGGAGACTGTAAGATTTTCAATGTATAAGATCATTTGTTTGCAAAAGGGTCAATATAACTTCTTCATTTCAATTTAATTTCTTTCTCTTTACTAATTGCTTTGGCTAGTACTTTCAGTAACATATGTTGAAGAAAAGTGGCAGGGTTGGTTTTCCTTGTCTTGTTCTAGATCTCAGAAGAAAAGATTTCAACTTTTCCTCATTTAGTATGATATTACCTGTGGGTTTATTGTATATGGACTTTATTTTGTTGAGGTAAATTTCTTCTATTTCTGATTTGTTGAGAGGTTTATCATGAAGGGATGTTGAATTTTGTCAAATGATTTCTCTGAATATCTTGAAACGATCATATTGTTTTTGTTCTCTGTTCTATTTATGTGGTATGTCATTTGCATGTGTTGAACCATCCTTGCATCCCTGGGTTGATTCCCACTTGATCATGGTGAATGATCTCTTTAATGTACTATTGAATTGAGTTTGCTGTTTTGTTGAGGATTTTTGCCACTATGTTAATCAGGGATTTGGCCTATATTTTTGTTTATTTTCCTTTTGTTGTGTACCTGACTGGTTTTGGAGTCAATTATGTAGAATGAGTTTGAAAATGTTACATCATCTTTAACTTTTTGGAATAGTTTGAGAATTGATTTTAGTTCTACTTTAAATGGTTATTAGAATTCAACAGTGAAGTGATCAAGCCCTGAGATTTTCATTCATGGGAGAATTTTTATTACTGATTCAATCTTCTTTCTTGTTATTAGTATATTTAGATTATTTGTCTCTTCATAATTCAATCTTAGAAGGTTGTATGAATTCCAGAATTTATTAATTCCTTCTATGATACCCAATTTGTTTGAGTATGATGATTTACATTTCTTTCAATCTTTTGTATTTCTGTGATCAATTTTTTTGTTATTTATTTTATAACTTTTTTTGAAGTAGGCATTTATTACCAAAAACATGTATTAGAACTTTTTTTGCTATATTCAATAAGTTTTGATATGTTGTGTTTTCATTTTCATTTCTTTCTTTCAAGAATTTTTAAAATTCCCTTTTAAATTTCTTCATCGACCCATTGGTTGTTCATTAACCCATTTTTTTTTTTAGTTTTCAATGGACACAACATCTTTATTTTATTTTTATATGGTGCTGAGGATCGAACCCAGTGCCCTGCACATGCCAGGCGAGCGCACTACTGCTTGAGCCACATCCCCAGCCCCTGTCCCATTGGTTTTTAAATTTCCATGTATTTGTAAATTTTCTGAAGTTCCTCTTTTTAATTTTTTATTTCATATGAGGGATTGAGCCCAGGGGCATGTAACCATTGAGCCATATCCTCAGCTCTTTTTTATTTTGAGTCAGGGTCTTGCTAAGTTGCTAGGGCCTCCCTGAGTTGCTTTGAATTTAAGCTCCTCCTGCTTCAGCCTACCGAGCCATTGGGATTACAGGCGTGTGCCACTACGTCTGAAGTTATTCTTGTTATTCATTTCTAGTTTTATACCACTGTGGCCAGAAAAGATAATTGATTTCAGTCTTCTTGAATTTGGGAAGACTTATTTTGTTACTTAACATGTGATCTATCCTGGAGAATGCTGCCTGTGCAGTTGAGAAGATTGTACATTCTGCAGCTGTGGATGGAATATTCTGTACATATATCTATAAGGTTCATTTGGTCTAAAGCGTAGTTTAAGTTCTTGATTTTCTATCTGGATGATCTGTCCATTGCTAAAAATGGGGTGTTGAAGTTTCCTAATATTAGTGTATGGCAGTCTACCTCTCCTTTCAGACCCATTAATAATTTTTTGATATATTTTGTTTTCTACTTGCTCTTGAACGCCAGTAACTTGAAATTTTGCTCTTTTGATACTGTCCCATAAATTTCACAAGCTTCCTTTATTCCTTTTCATTTCCTTTTCTTTTTTCTCCTCTAATTGTATATCTTCAAATAACCCCTAGTTCATAGATTGTTCTGCTTTGTTAATTCTGTTATTGGTGCTCTCCATGCCCTTTTTTATTTATCCATTCTGTTTTTCATTCCCAGTATTTCTGTTTGGTTTTTAAAATTATTATTATTTTAATGTCTCTGTTTTTTCATATTCTGGTCCCTTATTTTCCCCATTTCTTTGAATCGTTTCTCTGTATTTTTTGGAATTTGTTGAGTCTTTGAAAAAGTTATCTTGATTTTTTGTTAAGCAGTACATGCATCTTCATCTACTTATGATGGATCACTGGTACTTTATTTTTTCTATTTGGTGCTGGCATGTTTCCCTGCTGATTCCTTTATCCTTGTGGTTATGTATTGGTATTTGAAGTATTTACTTATTCAAGTCTTTTCAGATTGGATTTGTTCAGGAACACTGTTTAGCAGGAAACCTGTGCAGAAATTCTGGTCATCTGGTAGGCCATCTGGTATGGTCCCTAAGCCTATGATTGCTGCAGCTGTGGAAGCACTATAGGATGTCCTAAGGCCAAAACTTGTACAGCACACAGTGCCAACTGAGAATTTCTTGACTACTCAGGTTGGCACATCACTGGGATACACTCAAAGCCCTCTGGTTGCCATGGCTACCACAGTACTTTGTACACCTGAAGTCTTGTCCATTGAGGCTTCCTTGCTTCTGAGGTTTGTCTCAAACCTAAGTCTTCTGTAATATAGGTCAGCAAACTTCTGATTCAGAGATCAGATCGATTAGATCAACCTTCTGACTCCAAAGTCAGCGATCATTGCAAGGGCTGTGAGGTCCAATCTTGCATTTGGGTGGGGCAGGTCAGGAGACTCACTTTTTAGGTACCAATAGTGTTTAGGAGCCATGGGTGTCTGGGTATTTTCATGCATGGATAGTTGTTTTAATTGATGTTTCTTTAGGGGATGATCAGTGGAGAGTTCTCATCTGTCTTCTTGCTCCACCTTCTCCAATTACTGGTAACTTTTCAACAAATGGTATTTCCTTGCTTCTCATCATATTCTGATTTTTAAAAATCTGAATAATCTAATTTTGTTTAGGTTGCAAAGTTTTGAAATTAAAGTCAGGCTATCTTTAACTGAACTTATTTTATCTGGCAATTGTTACCTTTGTGTCAACTAGTTCTGAGCATAACTTTTGCTGCTCCAATGTAAAGGTGCTCTTGTAAGCTTCCTTACAAGTCCACCTTGTACATCC